TTTTGCTGAGCTACCTTTCTAGCTCAGCAGGGATGTGTGTGTGTCTCCTCTCCACCCTGAAGGGCACTCTTCCATTGACAACACAGTTTACTTTATGTAACTTATTTTATGTTCTGTGCCAAAAAATCTACTTGAAACAGAGCCAACATGTCATTCCAGGAAGAGGAAAGGATATTAAGAGTTTCCATGGCAATCAGTTGATAGAATTAAATTAGGCAGGAAACCTCTTCAGAATGCAAAATAGTCTTGCGAAACAGAATGGTTTGAAATATCCAGGAAATGTGTCACAGCAAAACGAAAGAAATGGAGATATGAATACCTCCATAATGTAAACTCTCCAACCTTAAAATAAACAATTGAAAGCTAGCCTTTGTCCTATAAAAATAAATTCCCAAACAACTGTCATTTCTAATCAAATCCTTGTTCCAGTTGGTTTTAGGGTTTTCTTTTCTTTTTAATTCTCATTTCTTGTGATCAACATCATGTAAGAATATAAATCCAAATGTTTATGTAGGTAGGAAAAAAATTCTTTCACATGTTGCTGTTAAATTTAGTTTGTATGAAATTGTGTAAACTTCTAAGCTATTTCTTTACCTGGAAGATTAAAAAAACTGATTTTGATGCAGGAAGAAAGAAAAAACATATTTCTTAATTTAGAGAAAGGAATTGGACTGTTGAAATAGGATTATTTGTGAAAATTTAGATTATTGTTGGTTTTTAAAATATCATTGCATTTTCTAGAGTAGAATGAAAAGGAATAAATGTTGAAATTTCAGGAAATAGAAGAGTAAAAATAAACCAAGGGTTTCTCACCTTTTTGTTAATTGCTAAAACTTCATAATAGTTTGCTTAAAAAATATTGTTCCTGGCTTCTGAGAATAAGAGTAATTATTTCCCTTAAGTCTTTATACGACCTAGCTACATGCTCTTCCTCTACCCTCTACCCCCAAGAGGGTTCTTGGAGCAAACATTTCTAAAGCAGATGGATTTATAATAAGAAACATTTAAACCATTCTCAAAAAATCCATGAATCATTGTCTACCCCAACTTTTTAAGTTAGATCATTGTACTTGTTGTAAGTAAAATTATAGGATTAATTTTGATAATGAAAACATAAAATAAACCAAGACATACAACTTAGAAGAGGAAGAATTTTACATTTTTCCTTAAGATATTTTGACATTAATTTCAATGTGAACTTTAAAGCATGATCTCAATGCTGGGTGTAATATACACATTAATAAGGGGCACAGTTATCACAAAAATGCCTGATATAACTTTCCTGTCATCATTGTGCTAAGCTTTTCCCATATTTTCTGGACTACTAACAGCTTTGTTTAGATACAGTTCAAGCATGGAACATCATTAAATCTCTCTTTTGCCCTCTCTTACACACACACACACACACACACACACACACCACTCTATGTACAGCATCAGCATACAGTATGCCACAGAGGCTCACCTGGGAATAGGTTCTCCCATCACTGGCCATCACCCTAGCCCCAGTTCCACAATCTCCTAATAATGCACTTTAACTTGGGAAAGTATTTTCTTCTACCACACTGGCTAGGAAAAAAAAAAAAAAGCAAGTAGTTTTTTAAGTCTGTGTCAGCAGACCTTGAGACAAGTATCCAGTGGGAAGTGATCCCAGGAAGAACAGTGATGGAAACTAAGAAGGAAGGAAACCCATCCAGCTAACACCTATATTGTTAATGCACTTATCACCACAGTGGGAACCTGGTTAAGTCCTACTGGGATCCTTTAAAAAGCTGTGCAAAATATTCCTCAGAACTGTCCAGAGATGGCAAGAAAGCAGAAATGTTCACCCACAAGCTCCCACCCTTCACTGATTGAGGGTCACTCCTGAAGTATTAATTCCCTCACATCCCTGGCTGACAATTCTTGGACCTACCACATTGTTAGAGAATGTTCTCAAGCATAGAGACTCATTTATTCTAAACAGTTGAGTGATTCAGAGTCTGATAACTGTTAATGATCCCAGTGTTTTCTGGTGCCATGATGGAGTATCTAGGAAAATCTAGCAAAGCAGATTGAGTGTTATTCCTGCAGTACTCCATAAAGAGCATTGTTATGTATGTGGTTGCTGGAGATGAAAAAGTTTTGCCTATAATAATGAATAAAAATCCACCTTACCCAAATAACTGTGTATGTCTAAAGGTAGTTTTTTTTAAAGTCATACATATATAAAGGCAACAAAAATGGTAGGAGACACAACATAGAATGAGAGCTATATAATTTATTCTGTATGGTTAATTTAGACAGGGATGTGCATTTAAAAAAACCAAAACTAGTGCTGAATCATGGTATTAGTTTCTGTACTCTTCTCTTTAAAGGAATTGGTGCAACTAGTTTGACTGAGCATCCTTTTCAATATCTCTCAGTTCTTGCTTTCTAATTCTGTCCTCTTCTGAGCTGCTACATTTTATGACATTTATGTTCCTCCAGGGGACATCAGAATGATTGCTTCCTTGGAGCAAGGCTCATTTAATAATAACTCCAGAGAAATTCATCTCCATCTGTTACAAGGTCTTGCTCCACCCTATAGGCTGAACATCCCTTATTCAAAACACTTGGGACCACAAAATTTGGGCTTTAAAATTTTTTGGATTTTGGAATATTTGCTAATACACAGTGAAATATTTTGAGGGGATTCAAGTCTAAATATGAAATTTATTTCTTAATATATACCTCATGCACATAGCCTAAATGTAATTTTAAAAAACATTCTTAGTGTGTTCCATGTTTACTGTGACCTGTCTTGTCACAAGAGGTCAGGTATTTAATTTTCTTCCTGCAGGATCATGTCAGCACTCAGAAATTTTCAGATATTGGGGTATTTTGCATTTCAAAATTTTAAACTAGGAATACTAAACCTATAATCATAAAGATATTGCTTTCTCCAATCACATTTTTTCAAAATGTGCTATGCTTTTCTTACCTAAGAATGTCAACCCTTTGATCATGCAGCACAGTAAATCCCAATTGTTTTTCTGACATGCCCCAAAATGTATCAATGAGAATACTTATTTCCTATTTTGGCTAACTAGTAATGTTTTTTTGAGTTGATTGACAGAGGATTTATTGTTTGATAACTTTGTGCTCATTAATATTTAAGTTAGGCTAGCATTAAAGAAAAAAATAAAATAGGTTGAAGATGTGGAATAACTTATTTCAGCCCACATAAAAACAGGGCTTTATCAAAAAAATACCTGAGGGGGATGGGGCAGACAGCGAACAGTACTGGTAAAGAAGGTAGGGTTGAAGATTGAGTCTTCAGCTGAATAGCAAGTTGACCCAAGGCAAGTAGCTAACTTCTCTGACCACTATGCCTTGTCTATCAAGCAGAATAATTGCATTTATGTCACAAGGAGGGGGGTGTTTCTAAATTAGATGACCTAGACCAAGTGTCCTCCACTGCTTCACATTGGGGGCTCTCTTCCCACTCCGCCAAAGTAGGAGAAAAGTATGAGCTCAAGGAGAAGATAAATGTTCAGTTGTGGAATGCTGTGGCAAATATTCACTGAAAATTTATCTTAATACCACACTCTGGAGAGCAACGTATGTTTCCCTTTCTAAATACTATGAATCAGTACATCCTTTCTTGTTCCCAAGTGTATCCTAAGTTGTGGATACTAAAATCTGTAGATGCCCAAGTCCCTCATATATGATGTATGTACAGCTCTGTATATTTTAAGTCATCTCTAAATTACTTATAATACCTAGTACAAGGTAAATACTTGTACTATATTGTTTAGGAAATAACAACAAGGGAAAATCTCTACATGTTCAGTATGGATGCAATTTTTCAAAAAATATTTTCCATCAATGTTGCCTAAATGCACAAATGTAGAACCCACAGATATGGAGGGCCTACTGTGAAAACAGCATATATTTTTATTTGAAATTTATTCTGAGTCCCTCCTGGTAGAAAGGGTAATCAAAGGTTAATTGTGACCAAATAATGACAGAAATGAATTATGAAGCCTACTACAGGTTCTTAGTTCCAGCTCTGATTTTTAGTAATGGATGATGAATATGACACAATCCACAAAAAAAGTGAAAAAGCAATTCTATACATGGACAGTTTTTTAAAATGGAAAACATCTCCGAGATCACAGAAAGAGATATGGATGCCTACAAAAGACAATGTAGAATAAGAATAAGTAAAAGAAATGCAAATTTCCAGCTCTGTGACCCACTACAGTCAGGTAGGTTGTCTAGAAAAAGTGTGACTTGGACTAAAACATTAGAAGAAAACGCAAAACCAACAAAATTCTCACAATGTAATGACAGCAATACTACATAGTGACATGGTTCATTTCAAAGTATTGGCTCCGTCCTCTGGGTGAACTTGAAGGATAAAGATAGGGATGAATTGATTGAATTGTTCATGCTCAATAACCTCATAGAAACAGTTTCACTATATTATAATTGTCTCCCTTTTCTGTGGGGAATACCTAAAAATGAATGCTTGAAACCATGGATAGTACTGAACCCTATATAGAGTATAATTTTTCCTAAAAATACACACTATGAAAAAAAGTTTAATTTATAAATTAGGCACAATAGGAAATAACAATAATTAATGATAAAATAGAACAATTATAACAATATAATAAAAGTTATATGAATATGCTTTTTATACTCTCTCAAAATATTGTACTGTAATCACCCTTTTTCTTGTGTCACAAAATAATAAAGATAATACTTTAATGAAGTGCTTTATGACTTCTCTTTGATATATCCAAACTGTCAGCATCAAAACTTTTGTACCTTGGAGCTATTACTCAGTAAAATAAGAATTTGAAGACAAGCACTGAAATATCCCTAGAGTCGATCTGAGAAATGAGACATCCAGTAAGTGATTAGTAGGTGGGTAGCATATACCCTGTGGATATATGTACAAAGGGATGATTCATTTCTCAAGCTGGAGGAAATGAAATGGTGCATATTTCACCACACTACTCAGAATGGTGCACAATTTAAAACTTGGAAATTGTTTATTCCTGAAATTTTCCATTTAACATTTTCAGTCTGTGGTTGACTGTGGGTAATTGAAACTACATAATAAAAGCATGGATGTGGGGAGACAACTGTACAAACATTAAAACAGAAAATCAGAGTCAGCAGCTGTGACACTCTTGTTTAAATGCCGCAGTCTGGCTGGGCACAATCAGGAGCCACTTGTCAAAAGAAACTAACTTTATTTTTAGAACCACACATGCTAAACAAAACAGCCTCTCAGGAAAAACCCTCAGAGCCTCAACTGCCACCACCGGCTTTCCACAAGCCTCTCTCTCCCACACAAGCTTCTCTCCACCTCCCACAATCCTCCTGCTCTTGAGGCCGATTGGCTGGGTCACGTGGGTGGAGCCAAAAAAGTCCCCCAATGAGCAGCTCCGTGGTCTGAAAGGGCAGGGAAACAGCCCAATGAGCATCACCGCAGAGGAGCCAATCAGCTAGATGTTGCTGGGGCTGAGGAGCCAATCAGCTAGATGTTGCTGGGGCCGCTGTGAGCCAATCATCAGCCGGCAGCTGGAAGTTTGCTGGCAGCTGGAAGTTTGCTGGGGCCCCTTCGGCTGTGGCTCTCAACATCTCCCCCTCTCTGTTTAAACAACAAGCATGTGGCTTAGGGACCGTGCCTGCCTTAGGTTGTCCAATAGTACATATGGTCCTTAGGTTGGTACCATTGCAATTAGATCTTACCCGTCACTGACTACCGGTCCAGTATACAGCCACACCTGTGGAGAGGTCTTTGTACCAGCGGGGGGGGGGGGGTGAGGTTCTTTGCCTCACCTCTGTTGGCCCCCAAATTTTAGCTGGACGATCATGACAAGCAGAAGGGAGGAAGATACACCAAGCCAATTGACGGCTCCTTTTGGAAAAATTGTACCACCAATGACATCATCAGCAAAAATACCCCAACACTACCACAAGTTGCTGCACCAACAGATAGTTCACAATGCATACAGGTGAGCTCACAATGTGTCCAGGCAAGTTCTGCAAGCAGTTCAGTGATGGCTATTGTAGAAGCTGTAGATTGGTTTTATCTTTGACTTCACCAGCACTGGGATGAAGATAGGAATTCTGGCAATAATGGCTAAAGAAAAAATTATGTAACATTACAGAAGGCACTAAAAGAAAACAATTTTCTTAACAATTTACATTATCTTTAAGAGAATTATTAAATATAATGAAAAGGAAAGGTGAAAGTAAACAAACAGATCTGTTAACCTTCTTTTTTGTTTACATATTAAAACAATCCTCAACAGTTGTTTACCCAATTTAAATTAAACCATATAAATCACGTGAAAAAAAATATTTGGATCCATTTTATCATGAGCGCTCATCATATATGATATATGGACATACGTACATTCAAACATATAACACAAAACACAAGTGTGCACACATAATATAATACATACAACACATAACATTATAGTAAAGGCCTTATAACTTTTTACAGGTGAAATCTCCATTGCAATGTTTAAAAACTCTATAGTCAAAAAATAGAACTGATCAGCAAAACATTAACCTAGGTCTGTATGAGCTCAAAAAACAAAATAGAACTTCATGATATGGCAAAGGGCAATAATAAAATAGATATTGAAAAAAGCATCCTGGTTCTGTTGCAGATGTAAGAATAGCCAAACTGGAGTTTTGGATATCAGTTGTTATGGATTTGAGCCAAATCATCTTCTTTTTGGTCTGTAGAAATCGCTTTAGTTAATCTTTCTGGAATCCAAATCGGCTGCTGTTCTCCCTGTGGAAACACATAAACAGACCCCCGACTCCAGACAATCACTGGCTCAGGACTTTACTACTAGACAGTAGGAGTTCAATGAGACGAATATTATCCAATCCCAATATTCCATTTGTCTAAGACTGTTTTATTATCAAATATACATGCAGAATTAATTTGTTCCTGTAAAGAACTGTATTAATAAGTTTGTGTTATAAGATTTTCAAGTCATTAATTTTTCCTCCATTGTATGCTTTATTATTTTCTCCAAAATTTTGATTATTAATCTTTCTAAGACCATTCTAATATGTTATTGAATATTTAACATTATTTTTAAAATAAGTATAACTTTTTTGCTATGAAATGAATACATTTCTGCTAATCTAAATGGCAGCTTGGTAAAGTTAAAATAGATTTGAAGTTTTCATAATAAGCTCTTCATTTTATATTCAGAAGCTCATTTAAATACATTTTTTACTAATATTTCCCAGAAGCCCAAACTTTACCACTAGGAAAAAAAACCGATGGTAAGCAATATTTTCTCATCTTTGGGGTTTCATAAGGATTTGAAAGGATAAATGAGTAAACCTATAGCCACATTCAGAAGTCCAATTAATGTCTTCTCCACTAGGAGTAAAGCAGAATTGATTTAGCGCCACACCAAGGATAAACAGCCACCCTCTTGGTAAACTTAAGTTTGTCCCTTGTGTTTTTTACAGTGTTTTAGAGTTTCAAACATATTTTTCCATGTTTTATTTTTAAAATTTCATTTTGTCTTCAAAACAACTTAATGAGGTAAGGACTATTATCTCTATTTTATGATGAAGAAATTGGCATCCACACAAAGTACATGTCTTGCCTGATTTTCAGTGAATTGAATTTTTATCCAACATCTGCCCTTAAGTTACCATCTTTTTTCTCTAATAATATTTTATAGAAAGAACTCCTACCATAGGTTGGAACAGAAAAACTACTTGCAGCCCCATTCAAGGCTAATACTCTTATTATTTTAGATAACAGGAAAACCGTAGAGAGACCATTGCTTACAGTTTGCAACCTAATAGCCCAATAACATTAATATTAGAAATCTGGTACAAAACCTCAAAGAAAAAGTAAAAATAATTTAAAACCCCCTGCAAAAAAAGTGTGTAACTCAAACATGTAATATAACCCTATCTCAATTGTAACTAGAGGACAAATTGAGTTGAAAAGCACACAGCATCCTATGAGGGGTATTGGGTATTAAAAATTGCTGTCATTTCTCTGTCATTAGGCACTTATTGCATCTTTCACATAACCATATTATTTCAAATTTATTCTTGATTATTATGATGCAGAATAGGGGGCCTGGAGTTGTGGTTCAGTGGCAGAGAGCTTGCCTCTCACATGTAAGGCACTGGGTTTGATGCTCAGTACCACATAAAATAAATAAACAAAATAAAGATATCGTGTCCATGTATAACTAAAAAAATGTTTTTTAAAAAAGGTGTAGAATAGAAAAATGAATAGGAATCCAGATTATAAGCTTTGAACCATCAACTTACCTAAGACTCAATTTGAATTTGTACCTTATACATTTGGAGCAACATAGAGAAGCGTTGTGTGTATAAAAATGAAATGTAACTAACCTTCATGTATTTTTATAAGTTAGCACAATATTGAACATAATAAGACTAATATATTTTGAGTAATGGAAGCAGTAGTGTTCAAGAATGAGTATTTATAGAAACAAAAGAAAAAGTTTTGAAAGCTACTTTCTCTGGGGCACTGATAGAGCTGGATGTTTATGACTCCATCACCTGTGTTTTACCTGATATAATCTAAGTGCATAGCTCCTTCTACAACTCTAGATTAATTCTGGTAAGGCCAGAGCCAACAACCAGTCCACTGTTTTTCAAGTTTTCCCACTGTCATTAGAATCCATAGACCCTTGAACCAATGACTTCTCAGTGAAAACAGAAAACAAAACAAAGCAAAATTTCAATTAATGGCTTACCACATCAAAAGAGTATTATACAAGATAAGAAGAATCAAATAAAATCTCGGCATTTGCAGGTAAATGGATGGACTTAGAGAAGATAATGCTAAATGAAGTTAGCCAATCCCAAAAAACCAAATGCCAAATATTTTCTTTGATATAAGGAGGTTTATTCATAGTGGGATAGGGAGGGGAAGCATGGGAAGAATAGAGGAACTCTAGATAGGGAAGAGGGGTTGAAGGAGAAGGGAGGGAGCATGGGGTAATTAATGATGGTGGAATGTCATGATCATTATTATCTAAAGTACATGTATGAAGACACGAATTGGTGTGAGTACACTATGTATACAGAGATATGAAAAATTAAGCTCTGTATATGTAATAAGAATTGTAATGCATTCTGCTGTTACATATAAATAATAATAATAACAACCAATGCAAACAATATATAGCCTTAGACCAAATAGTTCCTACTATGACATTTACAATGTTAATTGTCACAATAAACATAAATGATATGATCAGTTATTGCCTACAATAAAAACATTAAGTTTGCAAAGACTTTATAATTTTGAATGGTGGACAGGGAGAGAACAGAAGTGATATAGGATGTGATAAGTATGAGGGAGGAGAGAAGATGGAAGTAAAAAATTAAAGAAAGAATGAAAGAATAGAGATTGGCTATTAGCAAAAGAAAAGAGAGAAAGAGAATCAAGGGAAACAGGTAAGAGAATAAAATATATGTAAAGTAAACATTGAAAACTTAAAAATAAGAGAATACAAAACTGAAATATACTAATAAAACATCCTAGTTTAAAAAATCCATGAAAATTAATTGGCTTCAAAAGTGCCAGAAATGAGAGAAAATACAAATATGAATAAGTATAAACGTCCATGAAGTTGGGCTCAGTGGTCCACACCTGTAATCCAGCTGCTCGGGAGGCTGAGGCAGAAGGATCACGAGTTCAAAGCCAGCCTCAACAAAAAGCAAGGCACTAAGTAACTCAATGAGACCCTATCTCTAAATAAAATACAAAATAGGGCCGAGGATGTGGCTCGGTGGCTGAGTGCCTCTGTGTTCAATCCAAAGAAAAAGGAGAAGGAGAAGGAGGAGGAGGAGGAGAAGGAGAAGAAGAAGAAAAAAAAATCCATGAACAATTAAGGTCACAATTAAACAGAAAAGAATAAGGAAAGAGAAAAAAATCTTGATATAAAGTTGAAGAATCCTTTCCATTGGAGTTCAAACGATTTTCAGCTTCTCAGTAGTGTTAGGTGGCATCATCTGGATCATGATGCCCCGCTCTCTGTTGGATTGCTGTAGTAAGAGGGGGTAATCCCATAGGAGGAAATCCTGGAGGTGGGGCTTAAGTTTAGGTATGCTCCAGGCTCTTTGCTACATTTCAGTTGGTGTGGAGACTTTAAATTAGTGTGCCTCCAGGGCCCAGAAATTGCTGATCCACACTAGAAGACTGGACCCTAAGGATCTTTCCTGGGTGCCACTTGGTGGAAGAGCCAATTCTTAGTCCACTATGTCACCTGCAGACCCCATGTTTCCTGGTCTTGGGTTCAGTCTCCAAAGTCAATGTCTCCTGCTCCTCATCTTTCAAATTTCCATCTAGGGTCATCTCTCCCGGCCAGTCTGCAAGCAGTCAGATTGGAGGGGTAGGGTAGAGCCAGGTGAGTTTCCAAGACCAACATTCCCCCATGTAAATCTCTCTCCACATTTGATTTTCTCCTAGTCACTCAGGCACACTCTATATCATGCAATTTGGATTTTCCAGGCCTGTGTTTTAGACAAAACTCAGGTTTGCCAGGAATTAGCTCACTTAGCTGTCAGCCCTCATGACAAGGCCGTAAAATGGTTTCTTTCTCTGTCCTCTGCATGCAGCCTGGAGAGATGGTGGCTTCTTTCCCACACAAGGATATTGTGCAACATGCCTTTCCGTTTAGTAGAGCAATGTCTTTGATCTCTGAACTCTCTGTGCCCAGATACACCTCAGGCCTCTTAAAAATGTGGGTTCCTTTAATTCCCTTATCCCTCCACTTTGCTTGGGGACCGCTCTGGCTGGTGCCTCTGGTCACTGCAGCAGATGTGGAGCTGGGGCTTTCTTATTTTATTAGAGCCAACCTCCTGAGTCTGCTTTGAATGTCCAGTATTACATTCCAGTAAAGTCCCCCCAACTTTTTTTTCTCACTCACCTTGCTGAGATTCATATACTTTCAAGTGAAAATAAATTATACCTTTCTGAGGACTTTTTGGCAATTAACGCAATATAATGATCTATACACTGGTTTTATAATTTCCCTTTGAGGAATTTATCCTAAGATAATTCTTAGAGGTATGTGCCAAATTAACTATGAAATGTTCATTTCAGCA